TCGTCCTGCTGGCCCGGGCTTTCCCCAGCCAGCATACACAGTTCCAGCCAGCGCCGCTTGGCCACCCAGCTCACGGAGGACGAGCAGGTCCGCATCGCCCAGCGCATCGGCCTCATCCAGCACCTGCCCCGCGGCCTCTTCGACCCCGGCGCCGAGCCCTCCGAGAAGAAAACGAAGGAGTGAGTCCCCCCAAAACGCCGGCTGGGGCGGCGGGGTTCGAGCTCGGGGAACCCCCATCCCCTCCCGGAGGCTGTTCCTGCCTTTGCCATGCCCACCTCATCCCCGTTTCCGTTTCCCCGGGGATTTTACGGGCAGGAGGGAAGGCGGCGTGCAGATTTCTTAGCCGGCCCGGGGATTTTAAGGGCAGGAGGGACGGCGGAGTGCCGATTTCTCAGCCTGCAGCCCCCCGAAAGGCTTGATCGCCGCCTCGGGGAGCTGCCGGCAGCGCCCAAAAGCCAGGTTTCACTTCCCTGCCTTTTCCGCCACCCCGCAGGTGCGTGATCTGCATGCTGGAGTTCACCTACGGAGACCCGGTGCGGTTCCTGCCCTGCCTGCACGTCTACCACGTGGCCTGCATCGACGACTGGCTCATGCGCTCCTTCACCTGCCCCTCCTGCATGGAGCCCGTCGACGCCGCCCTGCTCTCCTCCTACGAGACTAACTGCGCCGGCGCCGCGAGGGCCGCGGAGGGGGCTCCTCGGGCTCCGGTTCTCCCCCTTTTTTTGCACGCTAAGAGGATGCACCAAAGACTCCGAGTTTCCCGGTGAAAGGCTGCCTCCTCCGGGCCTTTCGGGAAGAGTCGGCGCGGCTCCGAAGATGCCCTGCGTCACCCGGCCCCGTCTCGGCCTTTGGGAGCAGCCCTCGCTCCCGCCGGAGGAGCGGAGCAGCGGAGCAGCCCTCCCGCAGAGAGGCCGGATCCCGGAGGGCTGGTTTCTTGGAGAGGAGCCAGAGAGGAGCAGAAGCCCCTGCCCTGTTTTTAAGGAGTTGTTGCTCCTCTTTTTTTTTTTGCTTTAAATAGTCCTTTAGCAGCTGCTTTGATGGGTGCCTGGAGCTGGTGGCTGCTGTGCCTGATGCCAGAGCTGCGATTGAAAGCGGAGGAGCCCGGCATTCCCTGTAATTCGGAGCAATCCCACCGAGAACGATTTATCCGGGCTCTTGGGGATGCCGGATCCTCTCGGCTTGGGGAAAAGGAGGCCGCGCAGCCCTCGCTGCCCCACTTCTCCCCCTCCGTCAGCTACGGCTTCGTTTTAACGTTCCCGCCCGAGACATCCCCTTCCCTGGGTGTTTTATAGGAACGGAGCCGAGCCCGGTTCAGCGGCGGGTTTCAACACACCCACCGACAGGGTCGGAAGCGGGACCGGGCTCCATTTTCCGGCCCCGAGCGCCTCATCGGACTCTCCAGGACGTTCCCGAGAGCTGGTGGCCGGCCCAGGGGGGCTCCTACCGCCTCCGCATCCCCCTCCCTCCCCGTTTCGGCT